CTCAATACTTTTACACAGTACTCTATTACATATGATAGAGTCCTTGTTGATTTGACCAGAGGTCTTTGCATCTTTCTTGTTAATGAAAAACCCTGTACCATGTTGTGAGTGTTTTCCCTCTTTAATTGACCAATACATGATGAACCTAATTATCATGTGACTTCAAAGAGCTCTTTCATTTGTTCCCACATGCAGTAAGACCCTTAAACCTGCCCTATACCTTGTAAACATAGAGTTGCATTTAGAAGCTAAAGAGCCAGATATTTTTCTCATAAAAACTTTACAGTTCTGTGGACAGAAATGCCTTTTTGATGACAGAGAGGAGGGAAAAGATGAGACTGGTGTGGGCTGACAGAAATGCTATAATAGCCGCCATAGTGAACAGAAAATTGTCAGAATGCACAACATGTTGAACCTTGAGAAAGATGAGCTCCAACAGCAGAGGACTGAGTAGAGTTCCACTGCTGTGAGCCAAGAACAGAATGAGAGGCAGCTGTTGACACAGAGTTGTCAAAAGTGAACTCAAAATGTTTACCCTGAGCTGCAGAATCTCAGTTTCTTCAGAAGACTGAAGTGGCTGGACAGCAGCAACATGAGTCCATGTATCCAATTTCAAAATAATATCGAATACTCGTAATAGACGTAATCCATACCACAAAGAACAGCGTGAGAGCCTACCAAGTTATAGCATGATGTTTCGAATAAAGTCCTAAAGGAGTGAATAAGTGTATAAAAAGACTGAATCACTATACAACACATCACACAATATACATAACCCAATGGAAATATCAATGATGCTGAATCAGTCAGTAAATATAAGTTCCTGTGTCTCTTGCTGGCACATATTTGTACAAACAAAGAAACCAAACTTACCTGTTCAAACCAGTGGGTGTCCAGCACATTTACACAGTCTCAACATAATGTTTTCATGACTATTTTGGGGGATTGTCAGCCTGTTCAAGCCTCTTAAGTGGTCTGCTTATACTAAGTTTCACCAGGCTACACAGTGTTGCCCATTTATATTTGGTTAGCACCACTAAAATGAAAAGAATACTTATTTTCATGTACACCAAGTGCAAGTTCTCATGACACAACAGAGCAGGTGTCAGTGACGACAGATATGACGCTGTTCATGTCTGAGACAGCACAAAGGTGGGCTGCAAAGCAGCTAGCAGATATACAGCAACTGTACAGTCAAGCTGAAGCAGCTTAAATGAGGTTTGGGATTTCCAGCAAAGCTTTGGAAAGGCTCCAGCAAGGCCAGAACTCAACTGCCAGGCTTCTATCACAAACTGAACTCTGGCAACATATCACCCCCGTCCTCACAGATCTCCACTGGCTCCTGGTCAAGTCATGCATCACTTAGAAGATCTTTATTCTCACTTACAAATCTCCCAGTGGCCCGGCTACTCAGTATCTGCCAGACCTCCTTCACCCAAACACACAACCTCAGACGCCGAGCCACGGCTCTGCTTTCTGTGCCTCACACCAACCTCCACAGCTTTGAGGATGGAGCCTTCAGTGTGGCAGCGCCTACCCTCTCTCCTATCTGTGCTCTGCAATGCTTGTTCACTGGGGGCGTTGCAGAGAGCCCAGCAATGAGTTCTCCTCAAATCTCACCTCTTCAACAAGACCTTCAACCTCTAACCTTTTTTTATTTACTTACTTTTTTGTAAAGCATGCTTGAGTTTCTCGAAAGGTGCTATACAAATCTAAGTTATTATTACACGTCGCACAGCAGAAGTTAAGAAAATTGATGCATGGATGTGCAGAAGGGTATCAGCTGAGCCATGAGCTCATGTGGGCTGGCATTAAGATCAGGTAATGTGACAGGGTTTTCACATGTGAGCAAACACATGCTGCCTACATCACAGATCTTGCAATAACTGCTGCTGTTGATTCTTGTAATTTGTCAAGTGTCAAATTATATTCACTTCCAATTCATGACATCTTTTCTGACTACTGAATTATGGCTGCTGTGGGCTTTTCCCTTCACAATAGCATCCTGCCATAAACCAAAGTACTACTAAGTAAAGTAAGTAAGTAAAATCGTATTTATATAGCACATTTCAAGATAAAATCACAAAGTGCTTCACAGAAGCTTGACAGTAAAACAAAAACTACTAGATACATTGCTGTTTTGTTTTGTTTTAGCTGAAAGACATTGAGAATCATAGTGACTATCCCTTTAACCTTAGTTAGAAGTTCATGTGCGGATTCTGCTTCGAGAGGCGTTTAAGAACAGAGCGACTGGTGTGGAGGCCGAACAGATGCCCTCTGTTTCTCTGAGGCAGCTGGGCTGGCTGTGAGCCTTGGCTGGATCCTCCAAATAATGCTAAATCAAACTCACCCACATCCACGAGAGACACAGACACACCCCAGGGTGACACACACACACACACACACACAAACACACGCACAGGTGCAGTAATGTGTCCATGCGCATACATAAACGCAGTACAGAGACTTTAGAAAAGAACAAGTAATGTGCACATGTGTACAGAGATGCAAACAGGGAAACAGAGGCACCCACACAGACTCCCACACACACAAATCAAGCTGCAGAACACAGCTGAACAGAGCATTGCCATGCACAGCACTTGCTATTTGATCATGCACTGAAATTTTGGAGCCTCTGACCATTAAGGCTGACAGGATCGCATCAACTGGCTCATATAAGGAGATAATATCTTGAGTGGTTACTTCAGCATATAAGCAGCTCTACAGCACAGTCATATAACAGTGGTGCAATGAGTTTGTGTATGTATGTGCTGAGAAGTGGGACACACAGGTACTCTACACTGAAAACACTCCACATGACCCCCGGTTGTGAAAAAATCAAAGTTTGAGTAGTGTCACACGGGAGCACTTTCACTTGCTGCTGCACTTTCATCGCCACTCCGTGATGGCATGTCAGCATCAACGACTCTATTTGTACTCTAGATGATGGTGTAACCTCTCTCTCAGCACTATAAATCAATTGAGCTTTGAAAACACAACCTTTTCATTCAGACTTTGAAAAGATGAACGGATTATGTTTTTCATTAAAAAAACACCTGGTTAGTCAGCGAGCGTCATTCAGAGATGCAAATTAATCACGTCTGCAAAGACTCTGATTTCAGAAAGCTGGTCAAATTTGAAGTAATGTTATTACCAGAAAACTGGATCCATGTGAGCTCGGGCTAAAGCTGTGTCTAACAATAAAAGGTGTGATAAGGCTACCCTACCTATTTGAAAGTGTCAAATTTTGATAGGTACTCTGTGTTAGAAACTGCATCTGGCACCACACGCTGGGTTCTGGGGAGTTTGTAATTTTTGGCTTTGTGCTTTGTGCTGGAGGTAAGATTGTGTTCGTCACAAAAGTTTGTTCTTAAATTTTCAACTGAGCAGAAACTTCAAGGCGTGAAAAATAAAGCCACTGTTTAAGTGCCAAAAAACACCACAGAAGTTCTTCCAAATGATGTTGCTTCAATTTCCGTGGAATCACATGTTAAAATGCCCAACTTAAGAGAGAATGTATTTACTTGATTATTTTCTGTGGTCACTTATAGCGTCACATTAAAGTCACTGTTGCCTGGGCAGACCTTTGACAACTGATGTAGAGTAACTAGAAGAACTTGAGGTAATTTCTGCTGTAACATAAATCGGGACAACCTGCCATCCTTCTGTGCATCCATCCATCATGTTCTGCTTATTCAGTGCTGCTGAATGCTATCCCTGCTGTCACTGGGCAAAAAGAGATGTACACCCTAGAGAGATTACCAGTCTATTGCAGGCTTCACACAGAGACAGACAATCATTCATTCCCATATTCACAACTATGGCCAATTTAAAATTACTACTCAATCTGACAAGTATGTCTTCGGACCGTGGGAGAGCATGGCATGTAGGATATGCAGATGCATGAAAGGCCCCTGCTGGCCAGTGGACTTGAATTCAGGGCATTTTTACACCACAGTGCCGCCCCTGCATCTGTTAATCACTGGCTAATCTTTTTTTTTATTTGTTGTTTTGTTTTTTGCAGTAACTCTTAACACGGTCACTCATTTCTCTCGATCCAACTATGCATTACAAAGTTATGGTGCTTTGCTAGCTTTTTTGACCAACACCAGTCTTTTTGCTGGTGGAAATGCATGGAACCCATCCTAGATTAGGCAAGAGTACTGCGTTGGTGGGGTGTCAGTAATTGTTTTCCACTGAGAAGAGCTGCCTACTATTGACATGGAACCAAATAGTCATTTTGAAAGAAAGAAGCTTGTTTTAAAGCCAAATTTCCATCAAAATTTAGCATGAAATTGAAATAAATTTGTAGAAAAACTGAAAATATGACATTGCGTTAGTTTTTTCCTGTGATTATCTTCATGTGAACAGAGTGCAAAAGCAAAACTATGATACATTTTTTCTCCCCTAATTTTCTGGGTTTCTGGGTTCTTTCTTTACAACAGTTTTGTTCCAAGTTTGCAACTGAAACACCCTCAACAAATATAATATAATATAATATAATATAATATAATATAATATAATATAATATAATATAATATAATATAATATAAGCACCGGAGATACTTTGTAGATACTGAAAGGTTCTCTTCTAACACTTTCTAAACACAGAGAATGAGGCTAAGATGTGGAGGTCGTTTTTAGCCAAGGCTTTAATGTGACATTTATCCGTCGTTCTCGCCCTTCATTACTTCCATCAGTAAAGGTCAGGCTCGTACATGTGGGCCCTCCAGGTGTTTGAGCCCCTTACATCTACTACCCAGGAGCGCAAGCGGATATCACATTACTCATGTGATTACCTGGTGAAAGGAATCCGATCTTTGACTTTACGCATGAGATAAAAGAGAATAAGGAGATAACCAGGGTGAGATTCCGTGACATTTCCGTTGTTTAAGAAGAGGTACACAGATCTCTTGGCGGCTTTTCTTCCTCAAAGGACTTCGTTGGTGTGGGAAGGGGGGCGCTGATGGAGGCAGAACTTCCTGTCTGTCTTTTTGCATCCCAGTGCGTGGAGAAATAATTGAGTGCAGTGAAAGCCGAGCATTCATTCAAAGACCTTGACTGGCGCTACTGAAGCCTGGAGGCTCAGTAGTGATTCAGCAGCAGCGGAGCAGCGCTTAGGAGACAGTGGTGGTGAGAAGGAAGGAATAAAGGGAAAAAAGAGAAAAGGAAATTTCAAAAGAAGGAGGTGAACAACGTGAGCCGCGCGCCGATTTGGAGCCGCGTTTTCATCGCTTAACAACACGGAGTGAAAGGGGATTTAAAGAAAAGAGAGAGAGAAGCTGGTGAAAACTTCTCCCATCGCGGCCAAAACCTTCTGATTTTACTTAAAAAACAATTAAACTCCGGGAAATTCGGTTTGCAGCGGATTTTGACGGATGCGCACCGGAGCTATCCAGGGGTGTAGCCGCGGTTCCCGTCGTGCGTCTTTGCGCTGTTAGAGGTGGTGTGTGACTGAGTGTGTGTGAGAGAGGAGGATACAGATAGAGGTGGAGGATCAGCCGGAGTGGCCGACCAGCCAGAAGGATGCTGGAGGGCAATGCCTGCAGAAAGAGAGGATGAGATTTGTCGAAAGGCGCTGGAACTGCTCTCGGACCTTTGCTCCAAGGGAGAGGTGCAGGACGACAACTGCCTGGATTTCATTTACTACTTCAGGGATCTGGCCAGACCCCGTTACACGGACTCAGGTAAGGCTCCACGGTCTTCTCTTTGATAAAGTAGGATAGAGTTATATTATATCCAACACTAACTCGTGGCAGTTTAATTTTATTATGAGCTCCAG